TCAGCTGCTGATCAGTTTCAGCAGCAGCTGACTTGGGGACGCCTGGGGTTCTTAAGTTGAATCTGTATGTAAGTTGGAACTGGTGTCCAGATTCAGCCACTGTTGAAACTGATCAGTTTCAGCAGCGGCTGAATCTGGATGCCAGTTACGACTTACATACAGATTCAACTTAAGAACAAACCTACAGTCCCTATCTTGTACGTAACCCGGGGACTGCCTGTATTGTGCCCATTGGTCTTTTAATAAGGAGTAATAAAGAGATGTAATAAGGAGAATTCTCTATAATTTCTCACTGATCCAGTGACTATTGACATCAGTGGGGGTATTTTATTTAGTGGGTTTTTAATAGATGTCGAGACCAGAAGGGGCCACCGCGGGAATTTGCATATTTTCTTCCGATTTCACTTTCGAAAGCAGAGCTTGTGAAAGTAGTTGGGACATGTTTTTTTCAGCAATCCCCCATTTTTTTTTGAAAAGCCACTGTTAATCAAAAAATGAGGTTTATGCAGCTTTTCGAAAAAGGGGGGGATTGTTGAATAAACCCGTGTCCCAACTACTTTCACTTTCAAAAACTCTTTCGAAAGTGAGATCAGAAGAAGATATGCAAATTCCCGCAGAATTTGCATATCCTCTTTCGAAACTTCTGTGTAGTCTAAAGTCTCTGTGGGCTTGTCTAATCTGACTTCCTGTATATCACAGGCCATACAACTTTCCTTTATTAATCCCTGCTTTAAATTCAGTAGCTGTGGTTACTTGATATCTTTTAAAAAACCCATCCAATCTTGATTTTAAAATTCCCCGTGGTGGGGAATCTGCAATAGCCATATGCAAGTAGTTTTCCTATGTTTGATTACCCTCATTGCTAATAATTTGCATCTTAGTTCTACTCTAAATTTGTCTAGCTCAGATGTGGGCAAGAGGCGGGCAAGAGGCAGCCAACAGGCTGGATCTGGCCCGCAAAACCACCATATCCAGCCCACAGCTACTTCACTGGAACCCTTAGGCAGAGAGCTGCTCACACTCTCCTCTGGGCGCTGGGGAGGAAGAAGAGAGGCTTTGCACGTTGCTTTTTCCCCCAGTAAAATCTCCTCTCTCTCTCCAATTTCCTGCCCCTGACTACCACCCAAAAGCCTCTGTACTCCTTTTCCCCCTTCTCCCAGGTCACAACTCCCTCCCAGACTCTGTGCCACCTCCTGCACTCTCCCTTAGGTTAGTATCCACTCCTGTACCCATATCCCCTTCTGCACCCTGCATCCTAAGCTCCTGCCCCAGATCACAACCCCCTCCTTCATCCAAACTCCTACATCTCCTCCTACATCCCATTCCACTACCCCAAGCTCCCTTCTGTATCCACCATCGTACCAGAACCCCCCTCAGAAGTGTGGTCTTTGACCATTTGCCAACATTTTGGAGTGGCCCCATCCATTAAAATGTATTGCCTACCCCGGTTTAGCTTAAACTTCCAGCCACTTGGTTTTGTTAGTTTCAGTTTAGGAGTCCAAGATATATCTATTATCTAATTCCTGTTCCCTATGTAGGTACTTGTAGACTGATCAAGTCACTCTATTCTTTGATAAAGTAAATAGATCAAGTCCTTCAGTCTTTCTCTGTGAGGAATATTTTCAGTTCTTTAACCACTCTTGTATCTTATTGAAATATCAGAGGTTTTTAAATATCTTTGAAGTGTAAACACCAGAAGTGGACACCAGATGTTAGAAGTGACTGCTAAGTATGGAGTTGATGTCACCTCTTTTCCTACTTGATACTCTTGTTTATACATCTAAAAAACTGCATTAGCCCTTTTGGCTACAGTATCTTCCTGGACATGTCCTTTATCCACCATGACCCCAAGTCTTTTCTAGAGTCATTTCTTCCCAGTGTAGTTTCTCCATGCTGCAAGTTTGTTCCTAAATCAGAGGTTCTTAAACTACATTGCAGCACAAATATCTTCTGATAAGAAAAAATTACTAGATGTGCCCAAGAGGGGGGACTGAAGCCTCGCTGCCCAGGGTGGGGAGGTGTTAAAACCCAAGTAGCTCTGGTGGGGAGAGGCAAAGCCAAAGCCTAAGGACTTCAGTCCCAGGCAGGGGATATATTATGCCAGTGCTGATGCCTGAGCCTTGCTTGGCCTTGGGCAGTGGGGGTCAGGCTTCTGCGTCAGCCCTGATGTTGCACTTAGAGAAATAGAACTAGCAGAATCTTGTTTTGGGGGTAGGCAATATGCCACATTTTTTCAAATTCAGAATTCAGTTATTGTCCCTTGCCACTAAAACTATCCACCACACACACGCACACACAGTTCTATGGATGGAATACAGGCAGTCCCCGGGTTACATGGATCCGACTTACATCAGATCCCTACTTACAAACGGGGTGAGGCAACCCCGCACTAGCTGCTTCCCCCCAGCAGACCAGGGAGACGCGAAGCTAGTGCCCCCCCTCCCCCAGCAGACCAGGGAGCGGCTTTTCTCAGCAGACCCCTCAGCTTGAGAATAAAGGACTGAGGGAAGTGAGATGTGGGAGAATAAAACTGAGCTCTGGAGAAATGTTTGGCTAGAGGTTCCCCTACAATATGTACCAGTTCCGACTTGCATACAAATTCAACTTAAGAACAAACCTACAGTCCCTATCTTGTACGTAACCCGGGGACTGCCTGTATAATTACCAGCCTCAGTTGCCCATGCTAGTCCACTGGCCAGGTAGTTTAAGCATGAAGAGGGGAGCTGGGTCATGTTAGTGTGCACCAGTACTCCTTGAGGATGATTGTAGAACTGAAAGACCTAATTCTATAGTTTTTCATACACCTCTTCCTCCTCCCCACACAGTCACACTTTTAAATGAGATTATATAGACACACAATTAACTTGAAACAAAATTAAGTCAGTACAAAGTTTAAAATGGGGTTTCATTTACAATGTGGAGTCACTTTAGTTGCAATATGTTAAAAAGGAGTTACAATAATAGATTCTTCAAAGGTAATTCTGAACAGGATACTAATAAATTAATTAAAAAATGGTTAACACTGTTTCATTTATAAAATCCCATTCATAAACATTGGGCTTCAATTCAGGAGATTACATAATGTCACAGTGGTGATATAATTTATTAAAAGGGCAATTTCACTCTTCAGCCCTAAACCAGGCCCCAGCAAGTGTACACCAGGCCTGGGGAAACCCCATTAAAACAGGGTCACCACCTACTTTGGGGTCCCAACCCACAGTTTCAGAATCTTTGTCATACATATATGAATTACATTTAGCTATATTGAAGCACATGGGCTGAGCAATCCAGATCATTTTTTCTCAGTGACCTGTCCTCTTCATTATTTATAACTCCCCCTATTTTGGGGTCATCTGCAAACCTAGTTAGTAATGAGTTTGTTTTCTTCCTAGTTGTTGATAAAGATGTTAAATAGGATAGGGCCAAGAATTGATGTCTAGGTGATTCCACTAGCAACCCAGCTGCTCACTGACAATTCCCTGTTGGCAGTTACATTGAGTTAGACAGTTTTTAATGCCTTCAATGTGTGCCATGTTGATTTTGTATTGTTTTAGTTTCTTAATCAAAACGTTGTGCAGTACCAAGTCAAATACCTTACAGAAGTCTAAATATATTACATCAACAACACTATTAGCTTTATAAACCAAATTTGTAGTTTAATAAAAAAAGATATCTGGTTAGTTTGACAAGATTTATGGCTATGGGTTTGGATCAGTCCCCCAGATAGCATGTGGTTATTTATTTCAGTTTTCACTAGCAATAGCCTTGGCAGTTGTCATTTAAAGAATTAAGCAGATACATAGAAGATAGCTATTTCCCAGTCCTGCATGCACATACACGAATAAGAGATGTGAACTGTCAACATCAGAAATACTCAAAAAGAAAGTTCTTTAATTTATTCATTTGGTT